GCGGGTACGATGGAACGTTACAGATCGATAAGAAACGAGTGTATAACTAAAATTCGGGAAGCTCAAAGAAAATATGAAATGCAGCTGGCAGAATCTGCACTCAAGCAGCCCAAGAGGATATTCTCGTACATAAACTACAGAACAAGGATTCATCATTGGATTCCCAACCTAATTAAAGTAGGAAGTGAATCTGAAATGATAGAGGAAGATCAGGAAAAAGCTGAGGTTATGGCTGACTACTTTGGGGCAGTTTTCACTCAGGAACCTCCTCTAGAGAAAGAACCAGATCCAATTACAGAGTCAACAAACCAGCTGCTCACCGTGGACTTCGACCAAAACGATGTGCTTAAGGCTCTTAGCACCCTAAACATGGAGAAGTCAACAGGACCAGATGAACTACACCCTAAAATCTTGAGACATATTGCCCAATATATCGCAGACCCACTGACTGTGATATTCAAAATGTCACTTGACCAAGGTGAGTTACCTATGGACTGGAAGGACGCAATCGTCACTCCCATACATAAAACAGGACCAAGACAAGTTCCATCAAATTACAGACCCGTAAGCCTCACCAGTGTTGTAATTAAAATACTGGAAAGAATAATCAAACGGACCATAACAGCATTTATGGAAACCAATAACTTGCTGAACATGGAACAACATGGTTTTAGAAAGGGTCTATCCTGTACAACGAACCTCCTTATAGCTAGGGAGCTCTGGATTAATGCGCTAGACAACGGAAACTCAGTGGATGTTGTCTACATATACTTCAGTAAGGCTTTTGACAAGGTGCCAACTAATAGGCTGCTATTGAAGTTGACAAACCTTGGTATTGCCGGACCTCTTTTAAAATGGATTAAGGATTTCCCAGTAGGTCGTAGGCAAAAAGTAAGAATAAATTCCAAGTGCTCCATCTGGAGACCAGTACTTAGTGGAGTACCCCAAGGTTCCGTCTTAGGTCCTTTGCTTTTTATAATGTACGTTAATGATCTTACAAGTATAGTACAGTCTCCAATGTTATTATACGCTGACGATGTAAAAATTTGGCGAGTAATAACTGGAGACAAAGACGCATTTACTCTTCAGGCGGACTTAAATAATATGATAAACTGGTCTAAAGAGTGGCTAATGCCTATCAACTCGGAAAAGTGTGTCTACATGCACTTGGGGGATTCAAAGGTTAATACGTACAACATAGGGGATGTGTCATTACCCGTAGTCCGGTCTCATAAGGACCTAGGGGTGACAGTGAGCAATGATCTTAAGACGACGGCCCATTGCCGGGAGGTCGCAGTTAGGGGGTTTCGAACCCTCTGGGCTTTAAAAAGGACATTCACTAAGCTTGACACTACCATGTTCACCACATTATACACATCCTTAGTGAGAACTAAGTTAGAGAACTGTGTTCAGGCTGCAAGCCCCTGTTTCAAAGGTGACTCGGACATAATAGAAAAGGTACAGAGGGCAGCTACGCGTGCAATTCCGGAACTCCGAGGTTTATCATATAAAGAGCGGCTTGAAAAACTGAACCTCTTTACTCTGTCCTATCGCAGACTAAGGGGAGATCTAATATTGATGTACAGAATACTGAGAAATGATTTCGGACCTAACTTATTCTCTCTCTTTCTTCCCACTAGATCGGGACACCTCAGAGGACATAGCAGGCGAGTAGAAAAGCCAAGAACGAACAAAATACCCGTGGCATACAGGTTTTCACACCGAGTCATCAATACTTGGAACCTGCTGCCTGAAGCAGTGGTGTCCGCACCTTCAATTGACTCTTTCAAGAGAAGACTGGACACTCACAGAAGCATACTAGAAAAGGAATAACATAGGCCGTAGGCCTTCTCTCCTTACTACACAGATCTGAATCTGAATCTGAATATTAGATCTCCCCTTAGTCTGCGATAGGACAGAGTAAAGAGGTTCAGTTTTTCAAGCCGCTCTTTATATGATAAACCCGGAGTTCCGGAATTGCACGCGTAGCTGCCCTCTGTACCTTTTCTATTATGTCCGAGTCACCTTTAAACAGGGGCTTGCAGCCTGAACACAGTTCTCTAACTTAGTTCTCACTAAGGATGTGTATAATGTGGTGAACATGGTAGTGTCAAGCTTAGTGAATGTCCTTTTTAAAGCCCAGAGGGTTCGAAACCCCCTAACTGCGACCTCCCGGCAATGGGCCGTCGTCTTAAGATCATTGCTCACTGTCACCCCTAGGTCCTTATGAGACCGGACTACGGGTAATGACACATCCCCTATGTTGTACGTATTAACCTTTGAATCCCCCAAGTGCATGTAGACACACTTTTCCGAGTTGATAGGCATTAGCCACTCTTTAGACCAGTTTATCATATTATTTAAGTCCGCCTGAAGAGTAAATGCGTCTTTGTCTCCAGTTATTACTCGCCAAATTTTTACATCGTCAGCGTATAATAACATTGGAGACTGTACTATACTTGTAAGATCATTAACGTACATTATAAAAAGTAAAGGACCTAAGACGGAACCTTGGGGTACTCCACTAAGTACTGGTCTCCAGATGGAGCACTTGGAATTTATTCTTACTTTTTGCCTACGACCTACTAGGAAATCCTTAATCCATTTTAAAAGAGGTCCGGCAATACCAAGGTTTGTCAACTTCAATAGCAGCCTATTAGTTGGCACCTTGTCAAAAGCCTTACTGAAGTCTATGTAGACAACATCCACTGAGTTTCCGTTGTCTAGCGCATTAATCCAGAGCTCCCTAGCTATAAGGAGGTTCGTTGTACAGGATAGACCCTTTCTAAAACCATGTTGTTCCATGTTCAGCAAGTTATTGGTTTCCATAAATGCTGTTATGGTCCGTTTGATTATTCTTTCCAGTATTTTAATTACAACACTGGTGAGGCTTACGGGTCTGTAATTTGATGGAACTTGTCTTGGTCCTGTTTTATGTATGGGAGTGACGATTGCGTCCTTCCAGTCCATAGGTAACACACCTTGGTCAAGTGACATTTTGAATATCACAGTCAGTGGGGCTGCGATATATTGGGCAATATGTCTCAAGATTTTAGGGTGTAGTTCATCTGGTCCTGTTGACTTCTCCATGTTTAGGGTGCTAAGAGCCTTAAGCACATCGTTTTGGTCGAAGTCCACGGTGAGCAGCTGGTTTGTTGACTCTGTAATTGGGTCTGGTTCTTTCTCTAGAGGAGGTTCCTGAGTGAAAACTGCCCCAAAGTAGTCAGCCATAACCTCAGCTTTTTCCTGATCTTCCTCTATCATTTCAGATTCACTTCCTACTTTAATTAGGTTGGGAATCCAATGATGAATCCTTGTTCTGTAGTTTATGTACGAGAATATCCTCTTGGGCTGCTTGAGTGCAGATTCTGCCAGCTGCATTTCATATTTTCTTTGCGCTTCCCGAATTTTAGTTATACACTCGTTTCTTATCGATCTGTAACGTTCCATCGTACCCGCTGTGCCAAGGCGGATGGCAACATCCCAGCATTTCTTCTTTTGTCTTAGTAAGCGTCGAATATCCCGCCCTATCCAGGGATGTCCGTGCTTCTTTTTCTTTGGGACAGTCCAGGGTATGTATGGTTGAGTTACCCGATTGTATAACTGCCTGAATAGAGTCCATGCCTCTTGTACTGATGCCTTTGAGTCGATTTCCCAGTTCTCAGCCGATGCTGCGGAGTTAATTGCCTGCATATCTGCCTTCCATATGTTAGGACGGGCCGGCGCAATTGTTTGACAAGCAATCTCAGCCATGAATTTGAATAAGATGACTGCATGGTCACTTCTCCCAAGTGGTGGGAGAAAAGCCGTTTGACCAACGTCATCACCGTGTGTGAAGACTAAATCTAAAAGAGAAGAGTTTCTTAAGTCGTATCTTGTGGGATCTCTAATGTGTTGGAATAATGCTAGTCCAATCGAGGTTTCTAACAGTTTGGAGTCGAACGACGATATGGATGACCCTACTTCTAAGTTAACCCAGTTTATATATGGTGCATTAAAGTCGCCTACTACAAGGCTTTTACCGTTGTTACACCAGGACTTAAGTTTACTAAGGAGAAAATCATCTGCTACACATTCTGGACTGCGATAAACTACAACTACTTCAATATCTTGCCTTCGGCATTTCAACTTACATCTCACCAGTTCACATGTCCCTGAAACATGTGCTACTGTCTCAGCTAATCTTATGGTTAGGGTACTTTTGGTGTACAAATAACCCCGCCTCCCCTTCGGTTTAATCTATCAGCCCTACTGGTTATGAAACCAGTCAATTGGATTTCACTATCTAATACCTCTGACGTTAACCAAGTTTCCGAGACAGCGATAACGTCCGGTTTTTCTTTGTCCACCACTGACTTCAGCTCCGCCATTTTATTTAGTAGGCTGCGAGCATTTGTGTAGCACACTTTTAAGTCTGTGGAGAGCTTTCCCTTGCCACCCAGAGTGGCTTGGGGATCGTTTTGCTCCGAACTTTTACAATCTGAAAACCCTTAAGAACGAGGTTTCTTTCACCGTTTCGGCGACGCTCGTTTATTTCCGCTTCTGCAGCTCTTCTCTTAATACGATCAGCTAGGCTGAGGTCCTCACGGACATATATTCCGGATCCAATCAGTTTACGTGAATTACTTAGAATCAGGTTCCTTTCTTCCACCGTGTTGAATGTAACCTTTAGGAGGCGGTTTTTCTGAGGACTTTCGGAATCCACCTTTTTTCCTATTCTATAAAGCTTACAAATACTAACTCCTGAAACTGTATCTGGGAGTAGTTTACTTAATGATGTCTTAATATGATTGAGATCATGTTCAAATCTTGCCTTTGGTTCAGTATCTGAAGATTCTCTTATCTTATGAAAAATGACTGATCTATCAGAGAGATCTGTCTTTTCACGCGGTGGGGACTTTTTTTCTGATAACATCCCTTCCAATGTTTTGCTGACCAGCTGCGTTTTGCCTACAGCCTTTTTCTTCTTATTTTTTTTCTTCTTACCGAAGTCCATTTGTCACCACTCAGAACAGCCACACCTGGACTATGTGGAACGGTGACAGTTTTATCCGGATCTTCTATTTCGACTAGAGGTGTATGACTGCCGATGTCATTATCAAGCGACACTTCATTTCTCGTTAATGTCAACGGAGATTTCACGTTCCCGTCAACCGCAGTCAGGTGTTTAATGGGTCCAGTAGCAGCACTTACTACACTAACACATTCTTCATCGTCAGTGCTCCTGTTATCAGTGCTTCCGCCATCATTTTTCTTGCAGGCCAAAGCCAATAGGCCCATAGCCTCCTGTATTAGTACCTTTTTATCCGTACAGCAGAACATACAAAGCCAATGCGAGTTAGGCTTCGAGCATCTTTTGTAAGCCGTCGGACTTAGTCGTGTACACATTTTGTGATACCACTTTTTACAGTCGTCACACTGCATTCCCTCCTCAACGGAGAACAAACAATTTGGTTGCCCACATTTGTGAGTCTTACCAACCATTTTAATTCGATTTAAAAGGTTTAAAAACAAAAAATGATAACAATGTGAACACAAATGTTAGTCAAGGACTAAAAACAGGTACTCAGGACAAAATTTAGTAAAAAATTTCAAACTTTAACCAAAGAACTCTTAGTTAAAGTAGACCAAGAATGCTTTTTAGTGCAATAAGTACCAAAAGCAAGTATAATCACAACAAGTACAAAAATCACTGCTATAATTTATGGATGAACCAACTTTTGTTATTCAGGTGTGGTAAGTTTATCGAGCATTCTTCGGTGTCAGTCAATATTAATTAATTCATATACATTCTAAGTTAAGATAATATCACATGATATGAAGTGTCGTATTCGCGTCTCGTATGGGATTGAGTACTCCTATCTTTATTTAGCTAATCCTTAAATTATAATTTAAGGATATATTGTCATTTAATTGACAATTACTATTACAAAAAGCATTTAATAAAGACTGTTAGTGGTTTAACTATAGTGCCCTAAACAAAAAATGCTACTCAAGCAGATGGAAAATAAGGAAACGAGAGAACAAAGGCAATATCCTCGTTTTAGGCCCACTCACTTTTATGTAATCAGGCCTAGGATGGAATATATATATATATAAATCACATATTGTTGGTACGACTTGTATATGTATAGGTCAACTTACAAGTTGACGAAACCATATTTAGAACAGCTAATGTGGTTTCGAGTTATTAAGTCGAAAGATGTTTCATTGTGGATATTCAGCAAGTAGCCACAAAATTTCTTGTAGCCTCCATGGCTCAAATCTTGTTTTAATTAGTAAGGGTTACTAAGCCTACATCGTATATTACATACACGTAACGTTTGTTACTTGTAGGGGGATCGATTTCCTTCAAAATCTAACATAATTATTGTGGTGTAGCTTTTACGATTCTAACTAGTGGCTATACTTCTTATTTGACATTGTTGGTTAAAGATTCACATACAGATGATATTGTTTTACTGTGTGATAATGCCCAAGCCATGCAATCCGCACTTAATCACTTGGCAATCAACGTCCATAGGTACGGTATGAGCTTTGCACCTTCAAAGTGCAAAGTACTTCTACAAGACTGGCAGGATTCTAATCCTGTACTCACTCTGGATGGTCAGCAGATAGAAATGGTCGAGAAGATCGTGTATCGGGGTTGCTGCATAAGTGCTGGTGTTCGCGTGAGTGATGAGATTAATGCACGTATAGTGAAAGCCAGAGCGGCTCATGCCAATCTGGACCATCTTTGGCGCCTTCGTGATGTCAGTCTGGCTGTAAAAGGTCGGATCTACAACGCGTCGGTGAGAGCAGTTTTGCTCTATGCTTGTGAAACCTGGTCTCTCTGAGTTGAGGATGTTAAACGACTCTCTGTGTTTGATCATCGCTGTCTCCGAAGGATTGCTGACATTCAGTGGCAACACCATGTTAGTAATGCAGAGGTTCGGCATCGTGTGTTCGGGCACAGAGATGATAATCCATTTGGTGTCACCATCTTGAAATATCGACTTCGGTGGCTTGGACATGTTCCACGAATGTCGTCCCACAGAATTCCACGCCGACTCTGGGACTGGTTGGAAAAAGCTGAGAGGTGGTCAGTATATGACATGGTGTCGTGGGATGAAAGAAAGCCGCAAAGGACTGGCTTGTGTTGGTCCTTCACCACTCCCTGGCTGGGGTCCGAGAGATGGTGCGACACAGTGGCTAGAGACGTTATCAGATATGGCTCAGAATAGAAGCCAGTGGCGATCCTGCTGTAACCTTCTTTTACTTTCTTCATAAAAAGTGGTTGTATCTTCCTTAACTGAAAGATTTCTTCTGATTGTACCTTTCCGTTCCCCCATTTTTACCATTATTATTATTACACCACCTTACATCAATTTCTTCGTTATTATTCTCTCTTTTTTTCCTTCCCTTTAAATTCTCATTGTTTTGTGTGGCGCATATATATTTAGCGCATTCTTGTACCAATATTTATGTCAGTCAGTCAGTCAGCTACAACGTAGGACCAGGCACATGTATGCATCGGCCCAGGTTGCCATACCTCATTAGCACAGCAAGATGAACACCGGATTCATAGGAGTGGTTAGGTCAAAGGTGGTAATATATAGGAGAAAGATTGCAATAAGGATATAGTATAGGAAGAAAGAATTAGTTCGTAGAAAGAAAGATGTGAAGTGATCTTAATCTCTTAGTTTAAGAGAAGACAGAGAGTGTATACACCGACGCCATTGTGATCGATTCTGAGCCATGTCACCAAGAGTCTCCAACCATTGGTTACGAAAGTCACGCGGACCCCAACCAAGTAGTCTGCATCTACCAACATGGCTCAGACTAGAAGTTAGTGACTTCAGGCACTGATGCCACGTTTTGGTTTGGCCGCCCCTAACTTTCTTCCAACCATCCCCTACACCGGTTAGCATTGCACGTCGCGGTAATCGGTGTTCAGGCATACGTAATACGTGGCCCAACCATCTCAGTCGATGAAGATTCATAACCTCATCAACTGATTTACCATCATTCCCTAATACCCTGCGTCTAACCTCACTATTACTTACCCGGTGATCCCAGCAGATGCCAGCAATATTTCTAAGGCATCTGTGGTCAAATACTAGTAGCTTACGGGTGTCTTCTACTCTTAAGGGCCATGTTTCGCTGCCGTAAATTAAAACAGAACGGACTGCCGCGCAGTATACTCGTCCTTTTATTGATAGACGGATATCTCGCCTCCTCCGAAGGTGACGTAAGTTGGCAAAAGCCAAACGAGCTTTTCGAATCCGTGCTGAGATTTCGTCAGACACCAACCCATTAGGGCTGATCAGACTTCCAAGATAAGTGAAGTTGTCAACGCGTTCGACTACTTCACTCCCTATCCTTAGTTCAGGTGTTGACGCAGACCAGTCCTGAAGCAACAACTTGCATTTAGAGGGAGAGAAGCGCATCCCAAACATTCTGGCATTGTTGCTTAGTGCTACCAGAAGACTCTGCATTTTGTCAGCGTCTTCACCAAACAGGACTATGTCATCTGCGTATTCTAAGTCGATAAGTGGACCTCCTGGAAGGAGATCAATACCCGAGAATTCAGTCGACGAGAGTGTTATTTCCATCAATAGGTCTATGATGAAGTTAAACAAAAATGGAGAAAGTGGGCAGCCTTGACGGACACCACTTGAGGTTGCAAAAGTAGATGACAGTTCGCCATAAGCCCTGACTCGACTAGTAGTGTTCGAGTAAAGAGCCTTCACAAGGTTTATGTACTTCTGAGGTACGCCTTTCAATGACAGACACTGCCACAGAATCTCGCGGTCTACAGAGTCAAATGCTGCTTTTAAGTCAAGAAAGACCACCATCGTCGGACGCCGATAGGTATGCCTGTGTTCTAGAACCTGACGAATGGTGAATATGTGGTCGATGCAGCCACGACCAGGTCTAAAGCCAGCTTGGTTCTCTCGTGTTTGTAGTTCACGAGTCTTAGTTAGGCGTTTGATAATTATCGAGGCCAGTATTTTAGATACTATGTTTGTTAAACTAATCCCTCTGTGGTTGTCACAGGATGATTTTGACCCTTTCTTATATATTGGGACGATAAGTGATTGCGACCAGTCAGATGGGATAACGTCTAATTCCCAGATCTTAGCTAAAATATTAGTCAACCTAATCGCTAAAATTGGACCACCATCCTTAAAGACCTCTGGAGCCAATCCATCTGGACCAGCTGCCCTTCCTCGTTTCAGATTAACTATAGCCTTCTCAACTTCAGCAAGAGTTGGGGGACCTACTTCAATGTTCCATTCACTTTGTCTGGGAATGGAGGGTAGTTGTAGAGTAGCTGAAGGCCAGCTGAACTGTTCTCTAAAATGTTCCGCCCATCGTTCTAAACGTCTGGACTGGGAGCAGATGAGAGTATCATCTTTTTCCGAAATAATCTCACTTACACTTGACTTATTAATTCCAGTTTCTTTTATTAGTCTGTAAAGCTGTCTTGTGTTCCCTATAGTCGCCGCCTTTTCCATCTCTTTTGCTTTCGTTACCCACCACTGCTCACGGTCGTTCCTTAGACTTTTTCTTAACCTAGATCTGATTTGTTTACGCTCTTCATCATGTTCAGAACCTGATGGGACGAGTTTGCGAGAATCCATCAGTGTGACAGACCTTGAAGAAATCCACTGGTTCCTTGTAACTCTGTGGTTTAAGTCACTAATAGATGTCACTGCTGTTTCCACAGCTGCTTGTATGTCCTTCCAAGCAACATCTGGGTCAGCCTCGTCTTCACAACTACCTAAGTGTGACCTCAGTTGTTCCTGGAACCTACTTTTGGTTTTCTCGTTACTCAACTCAGTTCTAATGGGTCTTTTTAATGTGGCTTTTTTGCGTCCAGTGAGGCGCAAGCAGATGCGTGCCCGTATTAGGGCATGGTCGGAGTCCAAGCAGGTACTCCAGAATGAGCGACAATCTTCTACCGACCCTCTCCAACGATGACTGATGGCAATATGGTCTATTTGAGTCCATCGTTGGTTTGGTGTAGGGGGTCGCCATGTTAGACGATGTCTCTCCTTATGCTTAAAATTTGTGTTTGCTAAAAATAAACGATTGTCTGAGCATAGCTGCAGCAGACGATCACCATTATCTGTTCGCTGTGTCGGAATACTAAAATATCCACCTAAATGCCTTTCTGTTTGGTTTAAACTGCCTATCTGAGCATTAAAATCACCTGCTACGAGTACTATGTCTGAGCGTTTAGCTTTCTGAAGAAGTTCGGACAGCTTTCTGTAAAATTCATCTTTCACTTCATCTGAGCTGCAGTCAGTGGGAGCGTAGGCAGAAACGACAAAAAGGCAACGACGTGTGTCCCTATCCTTCCGAGTTCTTACGTAGCCGTTCAGCCGAACAGCACATAGACGACTGTTGACGGGGATCCACTCTAGCAGTGCTTGTTCGGCCCTCATGCTTAGTGCTATGCCTACACCTGCCAGTCCACGAGAACTTGCCATCGGGTCACCAGATACACGAAGGGTGTATCTCGTTGGCTCTCCGTCTTGCCGAGGTGAGGTCAAGTGAATGACCACACTGGAATCCTGTATGCGTGTTTCGGAGACACAGCATACATCAATGGAAAGAGACTCTAGGGTTTTAGCCAAGGAAGCCTGCTGACCGATTTGACATAGGGTGCGTACGTTGAAGGCTCCAATGTGTAGTTTGGAGCGAGGTTTCAGTAGACCTGGGACAGTGTTTTGCGCACTAGAATCGTTGGCTACGGTGACACTTGAGGTGGAAGCCGAGAGAGGAAATATAGAGTTGAAAGTCGATGTAGGAGGAATAATAGGAATTGAAGAGGAGGTTGATTATGAATACAGTGGTCTTGAGTGCTGTTAGAGGTATGAGGGCGGTTATCACTTCCCGGTTGCCCACACCGTGGAAGGGTTGTTCTGGAGGTACCTGAAAAGGAAATTGGATTAAAGGTGGTCTTAGTGAACTGAGAGCGTGACCGCAGTGCCCAAGGGACAACTGCTTGAGGTCGGTCACACACGACCTTGTTATGGGTAATTTTTGTGTTAGCTCCGTACTTATTGAGACCTTACCGCCGGAGACGGATATCCGTGGGATAAGGCGAGGTGTGCATTTTTAGGGTCGACCTTTTCTAACCCCACCCCTCCTTGTGGGAAGGCAGCATCGCTGTCATGCTGGTTGTCTGAAGGAAACACCTTACTGCTGTCACACCTCTGTACAGTCAGCAGTACGACTTCGCCTTCGGACCTTGGGTTTGTTGCTTTTAGTCTTACCGCTCTTCAACCGACCTGTCTGACATGGTAGGACCTTGAGGAACGGTTGTTCCAGCCAGTATAGCTCGGTTGCTTCATCACGATAGGCAAGCCCGACCACCACGTCAAGGTAGCAACAACGGTCGGGAATATTTATGTATTCAAATAAATAAATAAATAAATAAATAATTTGGTCGTCATCTAAAAAGCTCAATTACTTATCAAATCTTATATAACATTTCATGTATTACTATGGTCCCAATAATTATTACTTAGTGTTGCTCATTAATACAGGCAAGTTATGTTTCTCATACTGATTTTCTCAGTATCCCCTCATTTTTTTGTATTTAATGTGCCTGCCTTTCGTAATATGCTGATATATCGAGCCATCTTCTCTCCAGTTGATCAAAGCACTTGTTTGTAGGTGGGAAAGGCAAGTGAATAAATATATAACTCCTGGTTAGCTTATAAACATGAACTTGTGTAGATTATTTTAAACCAGTTGAGTGGTAAGTTGATTAAAGAGAGGCAATAAGTTTTTGATAAGAGATAATTATTCAAACCGCACTCATTGCAATTTTGTCCCTTGATACTTATTTGGTATCTGTAAGATTGCCATTTTAATTAATTTTAGTGAACATAGTTAAGCCATGATACTGTTTAAACATTCGTTACACTAATCACTTTCATCTTTAATAGCTTAGCAACAATCAGATGAAATTAGCTTTACATACATAAATCGCTATGATGTCTAGTCATTCCAAAAAGGGTCATGAAGTTATTTGTCATCTTAAGTTTGGTGCACCCTACAACTACAGTATTTATGCAGAAACTTTGACTTTCATTAATAACGTAGACAAAAAACACAAATCGTACTGTATAAAAGCTATAGAGGGACAATTATTTTCACTATCCAACTTAAATGTTTTAGTTTTCTTTTCTTTTAAATTAATATTAGTTAATAGTTGATCAAATATTTTGTTCTCAGTAAGTTTAGGTGAAAAACCACTATCGTTATCACAATGGAAACCATTGACCAACTAATAATGATCTAGGTTCAAATCTCACGGGGAACATCAGTGCCTTCACGGTTGCAGATAAGCGCTGCTGGCGAGCACCAACTAGCACAAAACTCCAAGTCCAGGGTTTCCTGCCAACTAATTCCAATAGTTTAACAACAAAACAGTGCATGCGTTGTCTAGACTAGTGGTCACGTTAAAACTTGATCGATGGAATTTGACCACCACCAAAGATTGGACAAACATACCATTAGTCATCACCATTCCATGACTATCCAATGTACATGTTTATTTAAACATCCCTACATTAATTTTTGTATGAGGGTTAGGCATATTGTAAATGCCTTAACTAAAGTGGTTGTAGTGCAGTTTGAAATTACAGGTTAGTGAAGTGATAACAAAGTAATTAAACCACTTAAATTCTGGTTAGTTGATATGGGTTTGCTGAGTAGAAACGAATATCATGTGTAGTCTTTAGTGATTAACTAATGTAAGTATATTATTTCAACGAGAGACCATCTATGAACTGAATAGCTAACTCCACAGAGTGACTACGGTTGTAACGTCTGGTAACAGGTTTTTAAACTACAGATTGTTGTATTCTGCAGCCGTCCAACTGCTCTGCTGATGTATGTACTTCTTATATACGTAACCAAACCAATTACCTGAGTGAGAAAACGGAAAGTGGGTTAGATGCTTCTGTTGGCAAACTGAGTCGAAAGTACATGCACAACTTATAAATTTGTCTGTTTTCTTTAAAATTAAGCCGGATTTTCAACCACGGGCGTATATATTTCCGCAGAAAGTTAAGCCAAATCTAGACCAGCAACGAGCGTCCGCCAATATCTCCTATTTATTATTGCTCTACATCTAATTGGGCCAACTTACAACAAATAAACCTTCTTGGTGAGTACCAGCCATCACATACTTCGATACAAAATTTCCTGTCACTAGCCTTCGACTATTTAACATTAAATATTTTTGATGATATTATATTGACTACTTTGTTATTATTTTCTACTGACTCTTTTTTCTGTATTTCCTAAATTTAGGCAAGAGGCAGTGCAAAATAGTTAGTTCATCGAACTTATCCACAGGTCTATCGGGATTATGATATATCTGTTACCTAATATGCAGAATTTTTATTTATTAATCAGACAAAATAGAAAGTTTCTGATCGTGTGTACATGTTTGCTGACTGTCATATTTCTTTGCATAATTATTTCATTGTGGAATCCATATCCATCTGTAACAAGTCATCGACTTACATCTGTGAATTATTTAACAGGAAAAGAAATTTCCCATCAAGAAAAAAGTGGAAATTTACTTCTAAATTCAGCATCTACTTTGCCATTTCTTATTGATGAATTAATGCGTATCAATCATTCTGTTCATGACGAGTTAATTGATTTACATCAAAGACGTAAAGAATTAGTGGACACTAATGCCGCCCTTCAAAATCAAGTAGAACGTTTACGATCTATTCTTGTAGAGCATTCAAAGCAAATAATACGTCTTCGAGTATGTCACTATCAAATAATTAAATATTTTCTCATTATTGACGAGTAAAGTAATATGAATGAATAAGTATATCACTATTGTTAATTTTTGTGATTAACTGAGTGATCACTGGGTTTATGTATAAATGAATAATGTGTAAAGTAGGTGTTACTTATTGTTGTGGTATTTACGAATATTTGGTTATACCTATCTCCATTTAACTAAACAAGGTCAACGTTCTAAACGCAATGTTGTCCCTCTGTTTCTGTCTTTAATAAAATGTATTAATTACTGATTCCTTCGTGGATATCTCTTACGATAGATAATAACACATAAGTAGTGGCTAGAAATCTGTTTTTATTTTCAAGTTGTAAAAGCGATATTTTTCCGAAGTTCTGTGCTAGGTATATTGAGAATATTGTAAAAATTACGTAACATTGATTTTGATTAATATCTATCTTATAGTTAGACTAGGAATAAGCATTTCATCAGTGTCTGGATAACGCATATCCAAATCTAGCATCCAATGTCAGTACATTCCACATCAGGTCATAACGGAGTGAAGAAGCATGGAACTAAAAATTTCGACTCAAATAGTATCTAATCACTTCAAATTTAACGCACAGAACATGAGAAGGAGTTCAATCTAATAAAACTTGTATCTTGAAGTGAAACGGGGTTCGGACCATAGACAAACCAGATGAAGGTCAGATTTTGTAACTGTCAAATTACTGTCGCATATCCCCGTATGTAATTCACAGCTGCTTCTGCTAATCCGAATTCAATATTCTTGTAAATCAGAGGAAAATAGTTGTTTGAAGTGACAGAAGTAAGTAAATTAGTATCGATCGTATTGATGTTTGTGGTTTATCGGTTACAAATAATTACAGCTTACGTAGTACACGCATCTCTGTAGGTTATTCTGTGCATTGGGTTGTATTAACTGACGATCAGGGCTACAATGGATGAATTAAACTCATAATTAGTAGTATCATTAACTTTCGTACCCAAAGTTTGTCCGATTACATATTTGCTTGGTAAGTGGGTTATATTCTGAAATCCTCTAGGATGATTTGTCACTCCTAAATAAACTTTTGTATTTTAGGCCACCTTAGATTCGTACAAACAAACTCTTTCAGATAATACTGCATCGTCAGCTGTATTTTATTCCAAATGGCCAGTTGTTCATCTTAAATTAAATAATGAGAGCATAAAGTATCCTTCTGTCATAAGCTCATCAAACGAATTATGCACCATAGAATCCTGTATCAATTGGAATCGGTGTCGATTTATAAGATTTTTGAAGTTTTGCACTGATTATTATGGTTCAAATAATACTATGTCATTTGAACAATTACTTCAAAGTTCTCCACATTTTACTGAAAGATGTAATATTGAAAATACTGCATGTTTAAAACTGACTTTTGGTGTTGAAGGTGCTCAAAAATGTATACAGGAATCTGAACTGACGTCAGAAACTTTACCAACTTGTATTGTCTTGTTTTTCAATGCATTGGAACTTGATCAAATATATCGGAAATACAATTATTCAAAAAATCATCTTAACTTCTTACTAGTCGCTACTCGTTTCCTGAAAATACATTTCGCCGAGGATTCGATTTCTTGTTGCCAATAAATTACGATATTTTATGTAAATACTCGAAGAAAATTTGCTCTATTTCTTCACCTTTGCGTTTACTACCAGGAAGACGTGCATTATTACTCAGCTTTAATATTGGGATATTGTCCAAAAGTCGTCTTGCTGAAAATCACTCATCATTGGATAATTTAGTTATTGAACACTTGAAAAAGTTGGATAACGACAGTCATAAAAAGAATGAATCAACCTCTTTTATTTCCATATCAATTCATAAAAATACCAATGAACTTGAAAGTTGTTGGTCTAATAAATATAGAGAATTCCTTTCTCGAAATTCCCTATCTGATACTGATTGGTTTCCATGTGAAGATTCTTCATCAGTAAGTTACATTGTACAAGTCCATGTTTAGAGCTAGTATTACCTTAGAATTAAAAAGTTTTGATTACATAAGTAATAGACCTAACCAACTAAAAATTGATTTTGTAAGTTTTATATTGGCAGTGTCTGCCCGTAGATGTTCTTAGAATTTGGAAGTTTTGTGTGCTATTTGAACATAGACCACTTGTGTATTGTTAAAAACATCAGCGATCAATAATTAAAGTCAAATGTTCCAACATACTAGTCAGACATGTAAGAAAAGACATTGTTAACGAAAATCCCATTAGTAAGAAACGAATTACTGGTGGTTTAAGTCGCTGTTCAAACATTCTGCTAATTATTTCTGGAAACATTACAGCTGACGCATAATAACCCTTTAAATTTCAAACTGTCGATAAAAAGCTAAATGGATCACTGATTTAGACTCACGAACTGTGTTTCAGAAAGCTACAATGCAGTTAAATAACCATAAGATAGTTTATTCTAATATACTGTAGGGTTTTAGCACTCGTTATCAACTAGTAAATCCCGTATTCGAATACACTCTAGCAACCTCATCATGAGTAACTGATGAGCACTATTAGTCACTACGACACATCATCATTATTGCAGTGTACTATTTTACATTTAAGTTGTTGGATAGTTTCCTTATGTGTGCCGAGTTTCCCTGTTTTACAAAAACAGTTTTAAAAGAACGGAATCAGAAATTCTCAGTTTGCACTTTCATTATTGCTAAAAGAAAATTAACATAAAAACCAAAGAAATCGAATATGACAGCAGACTAAATGTAAGAAATATAATTTATAATGAATAAATGAAATTTAGGGATAAAATGTGTGTAATTATATTAAAACTCAAGATCTAGGATAACATTTAGACTGAATACATCGGCGTTTTTTTGCCCTTGTTTTCTTATACATATCATTTCACTACATTCAATGACTTTGTGAATTAATAATTTGTACTATTTTGCTCGGTCCCTGATCATCATAGAATCTATCCCTTCTATGGTACATAGCATGAGCATATTAGACATCCATTTCAAGTTAATCTTATTGAGTTAAAATTGTTTAATGTTATACCAAGAATTTTCTTTGGAATCATAATGAATGACTGTAACATAGTCCTATCCTCGTTTTCACAATGCCAGTTATCTTATTATTGCTAAAGAAGACGTTGAATATAACATTTATTTGTCATCTATAATTGTATTTCTTGTTGTCTATATCCTTAAATGTTGATTTAATTCAGATAATATCTTGAAGTTTACATTTAATTATCTGTTTAAAGTACATTATTATTTCTTTTACTTAATGGACAGTATATTATCAAAGTGATTAAGTTAGTCATCCATTCATTTTAATTTCTAGAATTAGTATTTTTAATGGTAAGTTAAAAGAGGGAGACGAACATTTCAATCATGTTTTTTTTTAATTCATGCACGTCATTATTTCTCCTTGTACCTTTTTTATTGTTTTCAATTGCTGAGTTTTGGTTAACCGCTAAACGAAAAAAGTGTTTTGGCAACTAACTGTAACGTTAAGTTTTTTTAAAAAAAATACAGTGTAACTGTCTTTTTGTTTTAGTCATAAAATCTGAATTTGGCAACTGAATAAAGCTCTGTGTGTGTGTTTGTGCACTTGTGTAACAAAAATAATAAAGTTACCAGTTTTATTCTTTATATATATATATATATATATATATATATAATATATATATATATATATATATATATTTGCGATTATATTCAGGGTCCTGTAAGTTATACACTAGCGACACCATCTTATAAATATGCACAGGGATTTTATGTGTTTTTAACGGATTTCCATCTATTGAATATTCGTATTAATGTTCTTCTTAAACTGTCATTTTCAGGTTTTGTTCATATAATTAAATATCCATATACATTTTTATATACTCGACTTAGATTAACATACATTGTTTTAATGTCCAACGAGATGAAGTTTATACTTTTTATCTAATATTTGGTATTCCAGTATTTTAATCAGTGAATCATCGTCTCAATAAAATTGGACAGTTGGTTCTTTCCAAAGGATTTTGGTAGAAGTTGTATATACTCAGTATGTTCAACAAAACAAACAATTAATTCGTAAAGTGAAGTTGAAATGCTTTATTGATAAGGTTCTTTTGGAAAAGTAAACAAACCTACAGAGTCATACTACATCGCTGCTAAAAACCATCCTGTTCATGATGTAATCATAATTTATCAAGTTTTTAACTGTAATGAATCGCGCTGAATATTTTAGGATCACCAAGTGTAATTTTATTCTTTTTTATGTTCTCTATTTTATTCATCTTTTTTTCTAAACGTAATTCCCCTCACTTATAAGACAAAATTTATGTATTGAGTCCTGAATAATTTTAAATTTTTATGCGTATGCTTACGTTGAGCAGTCATATGGTTATCCAACTTTTTAATTTAACCCGATGATGACGTATTAAATTAACTGTTTTGGTTGAAAGTACTGCGCTTGGTTGATGAAGCAATGTCCCTCCCCTATTCAGACCAAGGAACTACAGCTTATGCGTGATTCTAGTAGCTCGTTAGTTAAAAGACTCGTTTTTCAGGCGATGAGCCCTAGGTTCGAGTTTCACCCGAGATATTATATTTAACCCTCGAATGGTATGTTAAGTTTATAGACTGTTTCCTCTTGTTGTTTTATAGCACTTTAGTTGTATTTAATTAATCTTCAGCTTCTTCGCAAGTCAACCTTTGGATTAATAATGACTGGTGCAAGGAACTCGTATTTGAGTTTAGGATTACGAATTCAATTGATTAACTGTTTAGCTAATGGTGCTATTCCTGTGTTTATTGGAAATAACGATATATATTCTGATGAAGCAATCAACTCAGAGTTATTGTCTAAAGTTATTATACACGTTCCTAGACCTCGAGTCGAAGAACTTCCAGCTTTACTTCAGTCTTTGCCTGAAGCGCATATCGTTGAGATCCGCCGACAGGTTAGTTCTACCATTAAAAAAATTATTTAAATTAAAGAGTATTATAAGTCTTTTCATCTTGTTTTCTTTCTGTTTCACCTCCTCCACTTCATATCGTATTGTTTACGTATCTCACATCAATTACTAACAGGGATAGTATCTTACAAGTACATATTAGAATCAGTCATATTTCTACTGTGTATACAATACTGTAAATATTAATGATTCAACTTTATTGTCTATGAATTTCGAGTTCTTAAAAAGACCATTTGACATACCTAGTCTTATATTTTAGTGACATGGTTGATTTATTATGATTATTTCCTCCAACACCATCTACTTCCATCAAATGCTGCTTTTCTACAGTGCGATTTTTCTTTACTTGGCCTATCATATTCTTCTAAAAATCAGCTCAGCAGCAAGATATAGATTTTTGTTGTTATCTCCAATTCACTTTTGTGTTTGGTGGTGATACTATTGCATTGTAAAATTAACGTAGATGAAGATTTGAATAAGTGACTTAATTGTTAAAAGTCGATGTTTTTTGGTTTCCAACTGGCATGCTTAATAAATGGTATCCTTATAGCACATAAATAGTTTGATTATTATCTTGGCTTACAAACATAAAAATAGATTTAGTAGATGCTTTATCTGTCCCGACCGTTGTTGCTACCTTGACGTGGTGGTCGGGCTTGCCTATCGTGATGAAGCAACCGAGCTATACTGGCTGGAACAACCGTTCCTCAAGGTCCTACCATGTCAGACAGGTCGGTTGAAGAGCGGTAAGACTAAAAGCAACAAACCCAAGGTCCGAAGGCGAAGTCGTACTGCTGACTGTACAGAGGTGTTACAGCAGTAAGGTGTTTCCTTCAGACAACCAGCATGACAGCGATGCTGCCTTCCCACAAGGAGGGGTGGGGTTAGAAAAGGTCGACCCTAAAAATGCACACCTCGCCTTATCCCACGGATATCCGTCTCCGGCGGTAAGGTCTCAATAAGTACGGAGCTAACACAAAAATTACCCATAACAAGGTCGTGTGTGACCGACCTCAAGCAGTTGTCCCTTGGGCACTGCGGTCACGCTCTCAGGTCACTAAGACCACCTTTAATCCAATTTCCTTTTCAGGTACCTCCAGAAGAACCCTTCCACGGTGTGGGCAACCGGGAAGTGATAACCGCCCTCATACCTCTAACAGCACTCAAGACCACTGTATTCATAATCAACCTTCCTCTTCAATTCCTATTATTCCTCCTACATCGACTTTCAACTCTAAATTTCCTCTCTCGGCTTCCTCCTCAAGTGTCACCATAGCCAACGATTCTAGTGCGCAAAACACTGTCCCAGGTCTACTGAAACCTCGCTCCAAACTACACATTGGAGCCTTCAACGTACGCACCGAATGTCAAATCGGTCAGCAGGCTTCCTTGGCTAAAACCCTAGAGTCTCTTTCCATTGATGTATGCTGTGTCTCCGAAACACGCATACAGGATTCCAGTGTGGTCATTCACTTGACCTCACCTCGGCAAAACGGAGAGCCAACGAGCTACACCCTCCGTGTATCCGGTGACCCGATGGCCAGTTCTCGTGGACTGGCAGGTGTAGGCATAGCACTAAGCATGAGGGCGGAACAAGCACTGCTAGAGTGGATCCCCGTCAACAGTCGTCTATGTGCTGTTCGGCTGAACGGCTACGTAAGAACTCGGAAGGATAGGGACACACGTCGTTGCCTTTTCGTCGTTTCTGCCTACGCTCCCACCGACTGCAGCTCAGATGAAGTGAAAGATGAATTTTACAGAAAGCTGTCCGAACTTCTTCAGGAAGCTATTGGTTGGGGTCCGCGTGACTATCGTAACCAATGGTTGGAGACTCTTGGTGACATGGCTCAGAATCGATCACAATGGCGTCGGTGTATACACTCTCTGTCTTCTCTTAAACTAAGAGATTAAGATCACTTCACATCTTTCTTTCTACGAACCAATTCTTTCTTCTTGTACTATATCTCTATATGCAATCTTCCTCTTATTTATTACCACCTTTGACCTAACCACTCCTATGAATCCGGTGTTCATCTTGTTGTGCTGACGCGGTATGGCAACCTGGAGCGATGCACATATGTGCCTTGTCCTACGTTGTAGCTGACTGACTGACCATTGTTGGTTATTGACTTGTAATATATAAATAATCTACTTCGCTGATCGTATATTTGTCAAACATTCTGGATTTAATTGAAAATTTAGTACTAAACCCGGTAAAAAAAACATTGGACGCTTTCATACATACCAACAGTCAAGTGATAAGCTGATTTACGATCTCAATAAGTCCAGAATTATCCGGCTAGTGATGTTTAACTTTTCAATATTGATGATAATTAAGAAGTCTCTTTTACTGCAAATAAGTTGACTATCTGTTTTTCTATGCCAAGTAATAGGAACTTTGAGTCAAAATATCATACAATGTCAAAACAACGAAATCAGGGCATTGGATCATGAAGAAAAATGTTAGTTTTCTTTTATTGAGACCATGAACCGATCAATGTTAGACTATCATTGAAAACCTGGAAGCACTGGACAGCCGTTTCATTCTAGTATGAAACTCCTCAGCAGTGCACATCCACTATCTCACACAAAGGACTCAAACGCAGGGTCTTTAATCTCGTGTGAACTCTCAACCTCTCGATCACTGAGCCGGGATCAAACGGTGTTGATGTCCAATTTTAACCAATCCACGATACTGCGTGACCATCTTCGGGTGTGAGGCGGTTACCCACCCACTGCTGAGTCCCATACTAGGAAGAAGCGGTTGTCCGGTGGTTTCAGGTTTTCATTAGTGGCTTAAAATTGATCGGTTCATGATCTCAATATAAAATCAACAATCTCCACAACCTCTGAACCACCTTCGTTACGTTTACTATATACGATTACTTAAATTTCCCTTGTCTTTTCCCAAAATGTTTTTTTTCAGGGCCAGATTTTATTTCAACGTTACTTTAAAAATAAATCATCACAACTTACCACTTTATTGTTAGCTGTTAGTCGACGTCTTGGTTTTCCTCAACCTCCTGCTCCTCATTGGTCTAGTTTACCGGCTTATAAAGAATTTCACCCACCTAAACAGTATCCAATACATAAAGAGAATAATTTTCAAGTTGATTTAGATGATTTCCTCGGTCCAGTTGGACCACAACAATCTTCCATTAGTTATCAATCGAATTATACAGGTCCTGGTGGATCAGCTCGATTGGCTAGCGTATCTTTTTACAGCGGGATTAGTGACATGGTTAATCCATTATGGTTATTTCCTTCAACACCATGGGAACCTCCACTTCCATCAGATGCTGCATTTGTACCATGTGAGTTTACTTGATATGATTTCGTTCTAATAATGAGTACTTCATACTTGTTTGAAAAGTAGTTTTATTTTACTAGTAGACTACATTTTTAAAGATACTAAATAGCTCTGTGCGTAATCGCCTATTTATTACTAGTTAGTTTATTCACTCATATACAACCCAGATGCGACGTTGATAATGGTCGTCTGAATTTAGTTGAATTTAGGAACATAGTAGGGACATAACACTCTCGGTAGGTGTCGATTGATCAATTTAATTCGGCACGATCCAATCCAATTTATAGAAACGTAGTGTGATAACTTTTACGATGACCCAATTAATTTGATATAGTTACTGGAATGACTAAAGCTCCACACCAAATGATTTGTTCATAGAATGAGCCTCTAAACACCAAAACAATCGATTCTTTCTTGAATACGTAATCATACTAATCAACCGATTGAATAAGTGAGTACATCATATTAAGAAATCAAATCTATCACTGACAAGCAAAAATCTTGAATCGAATTAGTTTGACTATGAGATACACTTGTCAGTTAACAAACGGTCAAACAAGACTGAAAATAAATGTCACAAAACAGTCAATAATGACCAACTTGTAACTCCGTGTAACAGGACTTTTTAGTAAAGTAATGGTTTAGTGGTTGAAACATTCATCACAATTCATACACTTCAGTTTTTAATGTAAGAAATAAATACATTTCTGAATATTTTCCAATTATGAACTTAAAGTTTGTTTGTATAAAGTTTTCTTAAAAATTAACTTAATCCGATAATAAAATCCGAGTGCATACTTCTATAAATGATATAAAATTAGATTATAAAATTTGTTTGGCCAAGCAGGAATATTGGGACAATTTAGTATAGATTTTTGTCGGTAAGAACTTGCTAATATTGGTGGTATGAATGGAAATCCATCACGGTAGTGAACAGATGTGCGTGTATGCTTAACGTCACTTTTTGCAATTTATTGTGCAATAATGATGTGTGACTTAGATGGTGGAGAAGATTTGTAGCTCAGGTGAATGATTTTGGTGGAGTTTTGTTCTCTGAGCTGGAAAACAAATCAAACATCATCTACAAAATAAATTGTACCAACTGCGACAAACACTACATCGGACAAAGCGGACGCCCCCCTCCACCTACGCCTACATGAACATCAATTAGCAGTCAAACCCCATGATATCTTTTCACTTATATCAATACACGTGGATAACTACGGACACTCATTTAATTGGAAAAATGTAGAAATCTTAGACAGAGGAAACTCCAAAAACACCAGAGAATTTTTAGAAGCATGGCACTCAGGCCAATCAGCAATCAACAAACATATTGAAATCAATCCATTTTATCAACCAATCAAGAAAATCATGCACAAATATAGGGACAAAAATCAAACCAATGGGAAACACAACCAAAACAAAGAAGTAAACAATGATAAATTTAAGGTCAACAAGAACCAATCAACATCGAGGTGCACAGATCAAGCTGTGAAACACTCATGGAGAAATTCGAACACTTCACTTCTATCTGAAGTTTGTGCTGATGATGTCGTTCAGAAGAACGATGAGAGCTCCACGACCAAACCATCCAGCTCATAGAACAAAACTCCACCCAAAAGATGGGTGACTTACTCTCGTTTACTACTATACTACTGTCCGCATGTCATTCTTATTCTCTTGTCAAATTTTCATTTATGAAGTTAACATTAAGTGTAATATATACTAATGCACTACAACTTGCATTATTTTTCTACCTACTTTTACATTTATTTTGTAGATGGTTCTACAAATCATGGTTTAAGACCAATTAACCATACTATAAATCTTGCAGGATATGAATTCAATATGAATTTAGGTGGAATGTATCCATATGAACAGTTTACTAGTAAGTATCGAACTAATCAGCAGAGTTCTTATATATATATACTTGTTTACCCAGACAAACATTCATAATGAAAAGTGAGGAAGCGAAGCGCAGAAGGTAACTGAGTCAACTCGTTTTGATAAAACGCGACCCAATATTTATAACGGGACAAAAATTGGCCAAAGATATGTGATAAATAGGGTAAGCGATACACATGCGCTCATATAAGAACAATCAAGGTTAATAAGCGAATAATTAACCAGGTCAAATGTGACTTAAGAAGAATGGATAAATCGGTTTGGCCGGAAGCTAGAATAACTCCATATGGGTTATATGCTAGACACCATGTGCTTATTCCTGTAATGGGATTGAGAAATCTTTGAAAATAGACAGGTGTAATGGATGAGGATCCAAATTTATTGAACTCACTTCCTATTGCTCTGAAATTTACAAAATGTGGTATTAATGCTCAATTTTGTATCCCTCAGTATAAACAAGTCAATAGTTACGCTCACTAGTGGGTGATTTCGAAAGATAGTGTCGGGAGTTCTAAAGCCAGAACCTATGATCAGCGGTGTTCAACCATATTGAGTATGAAACAGTTACCCACTAATCACATTGAAAGATAATTGAGTATTATCACAAATTGATTGAAGTTAAGCATGCAAACCGTTGGGTGCTTTCTTAGTGGTCTAAAGGTAAAGTGTTTACGATTGATTGATCACTGGGTGGTGATCAATGTCATGTATGCTGGATCCTTCTTAGTGCAGATCGAATCCTATCGACCAAGTTTCAATGTTGCCACTAGTCTAAGTGACTCGACATTGTGTGTACCATGTTGAGATAAGATGGTGGTTGGAGGTAGTCAACAGTAAACCCTGGACCTAGGTTTCGTGCTACTTGGCACTCGTCAGCAAGATGTACCTTTAATCTTGAGAGAACTGATGCTCCCTGACGGATTCGATCCCGTGTAACTCAGCTTCATCACCCAGTGATCGATCAATTGTAAATACATCTCAGTCCTACGGGAGGTCAGTTGCTACCTGGATAACTCAGTGGTAACGTCTTTGACTGTGAAGCTGGGTAACACGGGATCAAATCCGTCAGGGAGCATCAGTTCCCTCAAGATTACAGGTACATCTCGCTGATGAGTGCCAAGTAGCACGAAACCTAGGTCCAGGGTTTTCTGTTGACTACCTCCAACCACCATTTTATCTCAAAGGTAGTGTTTTCTTCAAGCCCTAGGTTAGATCTCTGGTGGGGTCATGAATGCACATTATAGAGAGGTCCCATACTAGGACAAAACAGCCGTCAAGTGCATTCTGTTTTTCATTGTTTGTTAAAATAAAATCAGTCTGTGATCTTAACTACAAAATCAAAAAAATGACTTACTACTGCTATCTTGGAAGTGTATTTATCGCAGCATACATCACAATTCATGAATTTTGTTTCAATAATTTTGATTTAGATATAGCCAAATATTAACACCTTATTAAGCTGTTAACACTGCAAGAGTCTACGGACATCATAATATCATCAAACTGTCGTTAACGTAACACGAGAGGAAGTTTTAAATTTTAGACTTTCGAAATCTGCTTTTGAGTCATTTAAATAGTTTCTCATTCTTAATAACTTAGCTCTTGTTTATATGGTTTCTGCCGGCAGGATCAGTAAAGCTTAGTGCTAATAATTTCACTGTCGAATTTCTGTCGGTTCATTTTAGTCGGGAGGAACTTATTTAGCGTTCGTTAACCGATCAAAGTTAAATAAGCATTGAAAACCTAGAAGCACTGGATGACCGTTTTTTCATAGGATGAGACTTTTCAGAAGTGCACATCCACGATCTCGTACGCGGAAATCGAGCCCAGGAAAGACGTAGGATAGATTGTGTGGTAACTTTAGAGATTGTGAAGGATTTATATAAAATTACTGCAATTAGAAACTGAATAGGATTTGGAGAGTTTACATAAGTTGGAAAAGCCGGCGGCTATAGGGAACACGAGACAGCTCTACAGACTAATAAAGGAAACTGGAATTAATAAGTCAAGTGTAAGTCAGACTATTTCGGAAAAAGACGACACCCTCATCTGCTCTCAGTCCAGACGTTTAGAACGATGGGCGGAACATTTCAGAGAACAGTTCAACTGGCCTTCAGCTACTCTACAACTACCCTCCATTCCCAGACAGTGTGAATGGAACATTGAAGTAGGTCCCCCAACTCTTGCTGAAGTTCAAAAGGCTATAGTTAATCTGAAACGAGGAAGGGCAGCTGGTCCAGATGGATTGGCTCCAGAGGTCTTTAAGGATGGTGGTCCAATTTTAGCGATTAGGTTGACTAATATTTTAGCTAAGATCTGGGAATTAGACGTTATCCCATCTGACTGGTCACAATCACTTATCGTCCCAATATATAAGAAAGGGTCAAAATCATCCTGTGACAACCACAGAGGGATTAGTTTAACTAACATAATATCTAAAATACTAGCCTCGATAATTATCAGACGCCTAACTAAGACTCGTGAACTACAAACACGAGAGAACCAAGCTGGCTTTAGACCTGGTCGTGGCTGCATCGACCACATATTCACCATTCGTCAGGTTCTAGAACACAGGCATACTATCGGCGTCCGACAATGGTGGTCTTTCTTGACTTAAAAGCAGCATTTGACTCTGTAGACCGCGAGATTCTGTGGCAGTGTCTGTCATTGAAAGGCGTACCACAGAAGTACATAAACCTTGTGAAGGCTCTTTACTCGAACACTACTAGTCGAGTCAGAGCTTATGGCGAACTGTCATCTACTTTTGCAACCTCAAGTGGTGTCCGTCAAGGCTGTCCACTTTCCCCATTTTTGTTTAACTTCATCATAGACCTATTGATGGAAATAACACTCGTCGACTGAATTCTCGGGTATTGATCTCCTTCCAGGAGGTCCACTTATCGACTTAGAATACGCAGATGACATAGTCCTGTTTGGTGAAGACGCTGACAAAATGCAGAGTCTTTTGGTAGCACTAAGCAACAATGCCAGAATGTTTGGAATGCGCTTCTCTCCCTCTAAATGCAAGTTGTTGCTTCAGGACTGGTCTGCGTCAACACCTGAACTAAGGATAGGGAGTGAAGTAGTCGAACACGTTGACAACTTCACTTATCTTGGAAGTCTGATCAGCCCTAATGGGTTGGTGTCTGACGAAATCTCAGCACGGATTCGAAAAGCTCGTTTGGCTTTTGCCAACTTACGTCACCTACGGAGAAGGCGAGATATCCGTCTATCAATAAAAGGACGAGTATACTGCGCGGCAGTCCGTTCTGTTTTACTTTACGGCAGCGAAACATGGCCATTAAGAGTAGAAGACACTCGTAAGCTATTAGTATTTGACCACAGATGCCTTAGAAATATTGCTGGCGTCTGCTGGGATCACCGGGTAAGTAATAGTGAGGTTAGACGCAGGGTATTAGGTAATGATGGTAAATCAGTTGATGAGGTTGTGAATCTTCATCGACTGAGATGGTTGGGCCACGTGTTACGTATGCCTGAACACCGATTACCACGACGTGCAATGCTAACCGGTGTAGGGGATGGTTGGAAGAAAGTTAGGGGCGGCCAAACCAAAACGTGGCATCAGTGCTTGAAGTCACTAACTTCTAGTCTGAGCCATGTTGGTAGATGCAGACTACTTGGTTGGGGTCCGCGTGACTATCGTAACCAATGGTTGGAGACTCTTGGTGACATGGCTCAGAATCGATCACAATGGCGTCGGTGTATACACTCCCTGTCTTCCCTTAAACTAAGAGATTAAAATCACTTCATATCTTTCTTTCTACGAACTAATTCTTTCTTCCTGTACTCTATTCTTATTGCAATCTTTCTCTTATATATTACCACCTCTGAATAAACTACTTCCATGAATCCGGTGTTCATCTTGTTGTGCTGATGCGGTATGGCAACTTGGACCGATGCATATATGTGCCTTGTCCTATGTTGTAGCTGACTGACTGACATAAGTTAAGAGAATTAAGTGAATGAAAACCTATGAATGAAGTGATGGTTTTTGTGACTTTGTTTATTTGACTCAATTCACTCGACTGTCATAGAAGTAGAAAAGGACGACCAATAAAATAAAACTACTTTTCATTATATGCCTCCTACAAATAAGTCATTTTTATAACCTGATCAAGGACAGTAAGAGCATACGAATGTTTAACTAATATGAACATAACCTGACTAATGAAAGCCTATTGGCCCACCATTCATCAGCTAGTCAGTATTTGTTTTTCACTAGAATACTTTGCAGTACATGTTCATTGATTCGTTGGTTTACCTATTTTCTTTTCATTTTTTTTAGTTTTAATCCTTACTTATGATCGGTTTAATTTATTATGTCAAACGTTAGAAAGTTTTTTAAATCTTCCATATTTGCATTCAGTTTTGGTTATATGGAACAATCCTATTCCACCCAATCCTGATCTTAGCTGGCCACAATTACATGTTCCAATTAAAGTAAGTTAATTTTCAGTTAGTTTCTCATTCATTCTAAATTAAGTTTTATATGACATCATTGTTGATCATAATTTTCCATCATTTATAGTCAAACATTATAGTGTTAATTTCTTCAGAAAATATTAAGACTCTATGTAATCTTGGATGAAGTATGAAAGTTTATTGGAATTATTTTCAATCTAGTCACATTTTGTTTAGATAAAAATTTTCTATCTAGTTCGATTGATTTAATAATAACTTGTTTTAAACCATAATTGGACCGAATAAATATAATAACGAATTTTGAAAAGGTTTTGTGGAGATTAGTTTAATTCACAAGTTGTATTTATTATCCGTTCATTTAAACTACAACGGTCAGCTCGTTAATGACCTACCTCAAAATGTTCCTGAAGTTTTAGTGAAAAGTTATGACTTGGAGTTCAGGCATGTCAGTTGTGATTAGATGTCATCAATAATATTGGATTATTGTTGTCGACAGATCACAAATTGATTGGAGTTGAAATTAGACCACTAAACGTTGATTCAATGGTTCTTATTCTTCTACTTTTGCCGTAAGACTTAAAGATCCTGGATCAGATCCTTTGTAGGATCTTATCTAGACGCTACCGAGTTGTTCAATACTAGTACAAAACAGCCATTTCATGCTTCTTGATCTCAAACAATACCCCAGCTCGAGTCAGTATGTGATTCATATAACCTATAATTAATAACGAATGCGTTAATTTCCACAATTAATTACTTAGTTGTGGTTGTTTGCAGTAATCGTGTTTTTATTTGTCTATGAGAGTAATTTGTTTATAATAATTAAGAAATTAATTATCCTGAAAACGTTTTCATCGTTAACATAAATTTCAAAAAGTATATCAACTGTGTTTTTCTCAAGAGACATAAAACAGTATGAAGCGAAACATAAAAATACAAATTACACCTTCTTATTCCTTTTCCTACTAAATTTGATGACGCAACAGCATATATAATATATATATATAGTAACTCACTGATGACAATGGTGGATGTGTCGCTCAGTTTCGTGGATTAGTTGCCGTTAGACATTAACACCGTTGAATGCCGGCTCAGTGTTCTAGTGGTTAGGTGCTCGCACGCGAGACTGATAGGTCCTGGGGTCGAATCTCGCGGGGAGCGAGATCATGGATGCGCACTGCTGAGGAGTCATGCGATAGGACGAGACGGCCGTCCACTGCTTTCAGGTTTTCCATGGTGATCTAACTTCAACTGACTCATTATCTCAACCATTGAAATTGATAAACAGATGTTACAGTTGATTTCCAAAGGATTTTAATACAGTTTTGTTCATGCTAATTATCATTGAGACAGCATTTTCGAGCAATCCAATCAATCTGTCCAACTGCTCCTATGATTGTTTCATAGATTTTTGGAAGTGTTTTTATTTTTTTAACGACTTATTTGTCCACATAAACAAAAATTACAACTGAACAATAATTTTTTTGTCTGAAAATTTTGGTCAAATATTATTTTAAATTATTATCATTAATTTTAAATGTAATTTAATGGTTCATGTTATTGTTTAGATTGACTGAATAAACAAATTTTTGTTCTTTCAAGTTTAATATCTCAAATGGCATTTTGATAATTCATTTTAAATCCTAGAGGTCATATCGAGTTTATTGTGCTTGAAAGAGCGCCACTTTTCATTGAACATTAAAAGCGAACAAATTATTTGTAGTAAACTAATTATTTCTCTTTCATAGGTTATCCTTAGCCAAAATAACAGTTTGAATAATCGATTTTTGCCTTATGATTTAATCGAAACCGATGCAATACTATCCATTGATGATGATATTCAACTACGTCATGATGAAATTGTTTTTGGATTTCGGTAAGTACAATAACACGTAAATCTTTCAGATTTTCAAGTATTATTTCGATTTGGTTATTGAAAATTTTATAATTGAAATGGGTCATTGTTCTTAAACATTAGTTGGTTTTCAAATAAAAGGATGATTGAGTCATTAAGGGCTTTAATATAAAGCTATCGGTCAGTAAATTCAAGTTGTACTTCCCTTCTTTACTACTTACGTTTGAGCAGCTGGATAATATTTGTAACTCTCATACAATAAATGTGTTTCTAAAATCCTAGTACACAAATCTGTACTTCGTCTTTGAGATATTTAAAATGTTTTTATTAGTTAAACAGACAGTAAACATTATCTTTATGGAATGATTCTTCGAAGGAACTCCTAATCAGTATTTTTAAACAAACCGCTCGTCGTGAGGCCTGAAGATCCTGAGTTCGACTCATGGAGAGTTCGTGGGTGTGGGCTGCTATGAAATCTTGTAATGGTACGAAATGATGACTCAATACTTTTTAATTATTCGATGATTTTTTTCGCTAACATCTGTTTGTATTGGAAACTATCATAAAATTTAGTACTTTACGCAAACATCTCTTGTTAATAATGTATGCTGTACTCATAAGTGGCTTAGATTGGGAAGAATTTCAAAAGTGTAGTGAGGAGACGAGATCGATAAAATCAACTCTTCATTGTTTACTTGTTTCATATATATTATCGTTCACTACTATAAAAATATTCACTCTACGAATGACCCTTGACATTTCAGTGTTTGGCGTGAACATCGTGATCAGTTGGTTGGTTTCCCAGCACGAGCTCATTTTTGGAATGGTTCTGATAGTTCATGGTTTTATAATTCCGATTATATGTGTGAATTTTCAATGATTCTTACTGGAGCTGCATTTTTTCACAAGGTATTTCATTTTTTATGGTCAATTTTTATATTTCATTAATAATCATAACAATAATAATAATGAAACTAAATTATGAGTATAAGCTGATTCAATAGTAGGTTTGAGTTAAACTTCTCGAACTTAATGAAATTCTAATATATGAATAAAGTTGTGTGTTGAAATCATACCCGTTGCTGCACTTGTAACTATCAAAGTTTAGTCACTTTATGTATGATTGATATTGGGAGTATGTTTCTCTGTTTGTATGAAGAAGATTATGATTATGACTAGGACACAAGATAGAATAAACTATTATTCATTTGTCTTTTCATTCTAACAGTCGATTTATACAGAAATTTCTCTAATCTGATGCTTTTTATATCAAAACTTGTCAATGCACTACCAAACATTTTGTCATACCTTCTTCTTATCTTAGTCAAACAATGATTAATTTTCACAGTTTTTTTAAAGACGGGTTTATAAATATGAACTTGATATATATATATATATATATATATATATATATATATATATATATATATAGTGCTCAAATTTCTGACAACAATGGAACTCAACATTTTTAAAACTGCCATACAAGATTCCGACTTCATCCGACAGAAGTCCCTAAGTGAGCCTGGTAGTTTTTTTTACAGAGGACGCTCAATTGGAAAGTGAAGGCGGTTGTGTAATCCCTTAGTTCTCATCGACTATACTAGGCCTTATCCACTAAGGGAGGTGTTCACCTCTTTCACATAGTGTGCTCTGGCACTAGAAGATTTCAGTTGTTTAGAATTAACCCAAATATATATATATTGTGAATATTGTATACTATATAATCGTTATTTATCTCACAATCAGTATTAAGGGTGATAATTTGGTGACTCACTAATTTACAAACCTCGCTTCATTTAATACCGTCAGGAAAGATAAAGCAAAAATAGACCATTACTGTTTTATTTCGTTTTCCTCCACCCTCGGAACTTCACTATATAATCAGCTTATATTGAGAGGGAAAGTTCATATAAAAATCACAAAAAATGTCATGATGTTTCCAAAGATTAATATGGAGTATCTTTTGCATGCATTTAGACAGTCAATGTAACATTCGTGTTAGACGCTCTTAACTGTAAGAAAGAAAAACTTAAAGACCCAAATGTATCAATCGAGAGACTGACGGTAATAAATATTTTGCGTTTCCCATAACTATGTTTTTAAGCTTTCATGTAATACTGTCACGACATTAATTATGTGCTGTTAATCATGTCCGCAACTACAGTCAAAGACAGCTCATTCCCTTGTTACTTTTATTATCTTACTGACAGATAAACACTAATATAGATAGCTATGAGTTTTGAAGAAACGACAAGTTTTCCCTTGGTGGTTCATATTGCTTTTTTGTTAAAAGATCAGGTAATATGTCTAGTAATAATGTACAATCCATAGTTGTTTAGAGAGAATGTTAGTTGTTCGTTATCAAAATTTCGCATTTTTTTATTTTGTCTTAGTATTATACATTTGCTTATACATCGGAAATGTCTCCGGACATTCGTAATATGGTGGACAATTATTTCAATTGTGAAGATATAGCAATGAATTTTCTCCTAGCACATATAACTAGAAAACCCCCACTGAAGGTGAGCTTACATTTAATCACACTCATTTATCTCTCTGGTCCAACTTCTGTTGAGTGGTACATTTCTTTTGTGTGGTTAATAACACTTCAAATGTAGAATACTAGTTGGCCGCTTATTGAAAGATGTATTGAGATATTTTATTTTTGTTTTCACTTATAATAAGTTATAAGTAACCTAACGCAAATCGCCTTTATATTGAACTAACTTGAAACTTATTGAAAGCACGTTTAGTGAACGAATAAATATCCCATTATTCTATACGCAAAGTAGAAATCATCTTCATACTGTAAAGGATTTCACATCAAAAGGTGTGCTGATCTCTATATGTCTCGCTTCGTGTTTGCGACATGTGAACATTGTCTTTTACATTTGAAATGGGATAAACGAATAACTTAGGTGGAATTTTGTTCTCTGAGTTGGATAGTTTTTGTTGAAGCCTTTGTGTGAATCTCTTGTGATCCCAAAAAATCTTAATTTCATTTATGTACATATATATAAAATGCAAGTTCATTTACCTTTTTGGTGTAGGATGTCTTTGATTTTACTATACTTTTTTTCTTGTGAATTTGTTAGGTTACACTCCATTGGTCATTTGACTGCGTTTACTGTGGTTCTACTCTGCATGACCGTCCAGATCATTATGCTGCTCGTTCCCGCTGCATTAATTGGTTAACAAATCATTATGGATATAATCCTCTCATGTACAGTCAGTACAGAGCTGACTCTGTATTATTCAAAACACGTATTCCACTCGGCAAACAAAAGTGTTATAAATATATATAATACTTCGTATTACTTATCATATTAAGTCATATGTTACATTCTCGAGGATTGTCTAGATCTAGCTGCCTTGCGGAAACTGCAGATTTTCCCCGTGTTTCGAGAGATCACATATTGACGCAAGTCCCCACTGAGAACCAAAGTAATGCTTGTGCCATCTGACAGTCTCTTTTTTCTTATGTGTTAAAATGAGTTTCTATGCCATCGTATAGAAATTTCGCTTCGAAGTGTCAGTGTAGGGTAAAAAGTAGGTTCACATTACGTTTTCTAGCCACCATGCAGATAACTGAAAACTTGTGTGAAAGTGTTTCAAATCCTGTTAACAAGCCAGTCATGTTTCATGAACACTGAAGTTTTGTGCAATGAAAATGAAAACGAAAATAAAGTTATTTGAGTGGGATTACAGAGATGACTGTTCACATAAATGTTTTATATTGAGGAGACGTGGTTTATTGGACGTTATGTACCTCTTTTAGAGTTAAGTATTGGAGTCACCAAATACAACATTGAAGATCGGTCAGTCCATCTGCTCTTCTAGTCACTCAGTTTCCACCTCGTATGTCCCAAGATTTGCAAACTAATTCCATTGATCTTTATGAATTCAGTCTTAGGCTATTCCGTAAAAGCAGTGGTACAATGGATGCCTTGCGTGCTTACCGATTTCTCTCGAAGAAACATGTGAGGCAAGTCGTGCTGACAGGCCCGCTCGGGTAAGACATCTCCTGTTGACTTTGAAGAATCCCCGATTTCTTATTGGTAGGTATTGGTTTCTCTTCGAGTTGCGATAGGCCTGTTACCTACATAATACTTCGGTAAAACGTATTTTGAGGCATCCAAGCCTCGTCCGGGAACTATAGGAGATGACCAGTGAGTGTTCTGCTTACTATACTATCATTTCTAAAGTCAAAGGTTATAGTAGCAAAATAAGGTAAGGAAAACCCATAGTTCTTATAATTCGGTTTGCAAATAAGTCTATCCTCATCCTCATGGGATACTTTTAAGGATTCGGTGGACTGCGGAACATGACGACTGGGTAATTATATATTTGGTAAGCAATAACCAGTGTGAATTTGGGATAGCGCAGGTCTATTTTGAGCCTGCGAGATGACTCAAACAGCTTAACGCTTATATTAAGCTCAAGTCAGAGTTTTTCCTGACGAAATCGAATAATCTCGTTCTAAGAACCGCTAATATAATACTAATCTGAGATTGTTAGAGAACTAAAAGTCGATAGTCTAATACGATTTGAGACTTTCCAGGATAGCAAGAATGATGCATCCTGAAAGAAGGTTATTATTCAGTAAGTTATACTCTAAAATCATGTAGTGGGCGTTAGTGTCACAGAAAGAAACTGAACTCTTGCAATAGTGTAGACACCACTTTATCATTACGAATACCCGGGGCCGCACCGGAACAACAAACAGCTGGTCCAAAGATACTAATCGATTTTTAAAAGCTCACGGCAAGGATATTGAATCAATAACATTGACTACATCGGTTAGTATTTCTGACATTTGTTCACTTTCTGGAAGGTTCAAGCTGTAAATAAAGAAGATAGGGTTCAAAAATTTTGTCCTTGCTGTCTGGCGGAAATGCTTCATCAGAAAATTGTGAAATAAGCCACGTATGCCGCATTTTTGAAGTTTAGTTGTGGAGGTATCACAACTGTAGCAGAAATGTTTTATGAAATGTTATTAATAGAGAAAAAATGTAATATCTTATAAAGCTATAGTTCGCAATCTAGAACCGTTGAGTAAAAACTAGACATTTTTTCCTATGATATGTAATGTAATGGCTTAATATCATTTCACGCTTTTAACAGAATCATGCTGAATCACTGACTGACCACATTGAATAGGGAAATATGTCAAATGAACTTTTCCATACCGGACAGATGCTTTGCAACTGATTTGCTTTTACTGGACTCCCACGTTAGGAAAATGGTGACGTTCACACAATATATACGTAGGACAGCAGGAGAAACCTGTGTCAGCCTTCTATGGAAATATATTCTCTGTAGAGTGAGACGAAATTCAATGTTAGGAGTAAAAAGCTTTCAATCCTCCGGGGCTGATTCTTTGTGATCAGGCAGAAAAATTTCTAATTATATAGATTGGCATTAACACTTGTGGCTACGTTGGCATATTCAGTATACTGATGTAAAGTTTTGTTTTCGTTTCGTGAAATTATTTAAGTATTTGATAAAGGTATGCTTGTAAAATATGGCCTACATATAATACTCAAATCGGTACATGTGAATTCAGAATAATGTAACGAAATATTACTAAAACCATAAGTCTAGAACTTCAACAAGATACTATCAAACACTCAAATTCGAACTACGTAATATGAGTTTGTATTGTGTTAGTGTAATAGGCTTTAACACGTGAAATATTTAACTGTACAGTGAACTGGTTAATCACTACACCGCAGCACATTAATTTTCGGTTTATTTGTCTATAAGGTCTGAATTTATTTGAAATTCTGTTAGATCTTAATTGTTCAGCATTGATTTTTATTTTCTTCATCCGTCTGGAATTCGGAATCATCTAGAGAGTCATTATTGACTGGGGAATCATCAAAATTGAGATTGGAACTATTTATTTGGAGTTCAGAATTAGGATTAGAGAATGGTCAGAATTAAAATTAGAATCACCAACTTCATTAATCTTCACTTAGTCTGTACATATCTGCCGTTAGTTGAATGGTTATTTAAACCTAGGACATTTATTTCCGACCACCCATTCTTTGAATTATAGTCTAGGTGGAAGGTTGGTAGTGATTTTGTTCATCAAATGATCATTTGAACTCGAGCTCGAAGTATTCGAGATTTAAGGAATTTATCCAGATTGTCATGAGTTCTTGAATATTCTGCACTACGATAGTGAGTCGGGAAACTAGATGCATTTTTTAACTACTAGATTACTTGGACCCAATAACATGATAGCTTTTGAGTGCTTTGAAGATCATCATAGTCCGGAAGAAATTTCCTGCTAACCCGTCAGACTCGGGATATCGTGGAGTTTCAGTCAGTAAACCAGTTCTAGCTCTATATCTGACTCTAGTCAAATCGTATTCTGATTTTTATCGAAATAAGCATGCTGCCAACCTTTATAGTTCATCAACTTAATTCGCGCTATGGAATAACGTAATAAAGTAAGTCAAATACGGGAATGAATTTTGAATACGTACATGTTTCATACTCAGTATCCGGACAGACAATTAGAGAAACGGGTCGGCATGTAGCTGCAAATGCTAGTGAGCCAACTCAATTTGATAAAGTGTAACCCGATATCTATAATCAGATCGAGAATACGTTACAGACACGTAATGAATGGGACAAGCAATTAACAAATATATCATAATGTTGTGGCGGTAAATAAATCGCCAAAATAAATAGCTCTGTAATTCTTCGACATTGGATGCTGACCACATTAGTTTTAATGGACTCACCTAGCTGAATGCGCTCAGTTATGCATCTGCACCAGATCACAACTCTTTCAATTGCTAGCCAGATTAGATCAGTACGTTGATAGCCTATCAAATATATCTTCGAACTTCCTTGCTTCTGTCTTTTGATCTCACTTGGTGGGTACGATTCATATTAGAAGTGTTACTGGGTAATGCTTTGTCAAACTCCAAAAACATGTGGCATCTTCAATGTGGAACAGTTACGGTTAATAAGCGAGTAATTGGCGAGGTCAAAATGTGGATTGAGATTAAGGAATAAACTAGTGCGTCCAGTAGCTATAATAATCTACGTCTGCCGGATATTGAGTTGGCCACTACAAAGCTCCCTTGCAGAAAAAAGTATACTAATTTGAATAGATGTGAACTGTCCCTAATGTTCCCAACTCTATACACCATTTCTGAACCAGAGCAGTTGACCGATTATGTGGCATCTGGATGGTATGTAGATTCTTCCTAGACATAGCATAAAATTTCGGGATATGACTACAGTGATATGAAGTTGTTCAGGCGCTGTACAAGTAAGACATCATTGGAACTCGATTATAATGATGAAGAGTGAGATAATAGATCTTCAGGAAATTAAATTACTACTTCGTACCAGTTAACAATGAAGATGCCACAGGTATTTTGATTTTGACAACGCCTTTGTACGCAACACCTTTATAATCGAGATATACTAATTAAGTCAAACCAGGTGTCAAAAATGAAGGAGTCCGAATACTTATTTGGAAGGCTATCGATTTGTCGATAAACGTTGAGTCCGGGGTGGATGTCAGTTGTAAGGGATGCGCAGCATGATGTACCTAAATGTGATCTGGTTCATATACATAACCGAGCGCTTTCAGCTAGGGTGTGCCTTGTACAAATAATGAGGTCAGCTTCAATGTCGAAGACTCACAGAGTTATTTGTTTCAGGGATTTGTTTACCGCAAGAACAACATCCGTCCGTTATGACGAGTTCAAGTATAGTCTGATCATTACATTTTAAATTATCCGTATAAATAAAACTCAAACTTTAGAGAAAATCCTTAGCGCCAACCTTACGCGAAGAACATCTGTAGGCTGCTATTAACCAGACAACTGAAACAATGTATTATTTGTGATGAAAATCATTTGGAACCAATAAACTCGACAGTCAAGCAAGCATACCACCAAAACCTCCATGTTTTGAAGAATCCGCTAATAAAACTGTAAGCCTGTTTAACCCGAGTTACTTGCTCCTCAGATTTTTAGGCTTAAACGTGGAAGTATCAGTGATTCGTCAATCTTAGAAAGATAACCGTACATAAAACACCTTACTTGGAGGTATTAGTGACCTGCTGTGGCTTAAAACAGAAACTCGATATACGTAGACTTCAATCCACAAATATTTTGTGTATTTTTACCTAAAAATTGATGGAAGATTTTACGGAGCGCGCTTTACAAACGGGAAGTTTACTTACAACGTGACTTTCATTTCCTAATCCTTTGCTGAGTCCTTGCTTAACAAAAGTACCGTTTTTCGTCCAAGAATCTGTCACGAGCTTAACGTT